ATGTCAAATCTCTCATAGCTAAATATAAAAGGAATTTTTTATGCTGAGCTCGAAGAACCATCAAACACTCCGAATACAGAACATCATTAGTTTCAGGCTCCGGCCACAACTTTGAACCCAGAGATCCCCTCTGGTATTAGTGTGGAAGTAATGAAATGAAAGGGCTAATTAAAGGGCTTTTGTGATAATATAAATGAAACTTGTAATTCTCAGCGAATGGGTGAGGTTCACATAAGCCCAGCTCTGCTGCCTGCGTACCATATCGCGTTTTTCAAAGACAGAGTATCGATAATTCTGAGGTATCTATTGAAAGTGAAATATTGGAAGCCGTAGGGTAGAGTAGTGAGTGCAAAGCGCGAAAATTGTTGGATTTTGAAAATTATCAGACTACAAAAGTAGCAAGAAAAGGGGTTGTACGAGAAGGTTGTCTGTATGTCTCTCATTCAAGCGTACTATTTGTCTCGCCCTGCGAATAGGGCGTAATAACAAGGCTGGCATAACCCGGCCACTTGCAGTGGGCGTGTCGGTCAAACCGGTTTTAGAGCCCCTATTACGCCCACTCTAGGCCGCTTTTGGGCCTGACAACCAGACAAGCCCGACAGGTACTATTTTTGCAGAGCACAGATACATGCTAGCGAGAAACCTCAGAAACCGTTTTCATCGTGGACCGTGCCCTTGAAGTGATCATTGCAGTCATAAAGCAGTACATTTGAGAGAGCGCTTGCTGAGTAGTAGCGTAAGGGAACATAATTGTGCTGAATTAGTGGAGTATATGAGTGTGTAAATTATTTCCATAACATCGAAGTAACTGAGGTGCTCGCTTCAAAGGTGTAATGGTAATTAACTGACCTATGTTCGTACAAATCCTTGACGACCCTCTCGCAGTCATCGACAGGCGCTGGGAAAGGATACTCTGGTGCTAGTCGGTAATCAACAGAGATCACCGTCACTCCAAGGCGGCGGACCAGCGACGCGAGTAGGACGTCATAAAACTCTGAACTGCTTATGTTGAAGATATCATGCTTTGTAAACAAAGTGCACTGTACCTGGCCTTACTGCCACCCATCCTCCTCCGTGGAAGAAAACCAGAGCACCCCTGCTTTGTTTCTGGTGTGGAGTGTAGATTCTGACCTTGACACCTCCAATCGAGTCGTTGACAACCTGGAAAAAGCCTTTGTTTCTGATTCGCATTGTACTGCAAAATTCAGCTTGAAGAACAAAGGCACAATTGACTCATTCCAGAATAGATGACGGAATAAGGTTGATAAGGTCACGTTTCTAAGGAACTGCTCCTTGAGGCACAACTTCAAGGTGCACACTAAACACCACAGACTGTGGTCTAGACGAAATCTTCTTGAAAACGGTGAGCGAGATGAGATTAAGCTCTCTGGCCCTTTCATCCATTGATAGATCCCTCCTTTTTGATATTGAAGAATTGTATGGAACCCACCACAAGGTTCGAGACAACTAACAAGGATTTCAGGCAACAAAGTCTCAACTTTCAATCGTCATGTCCTTAACCAGACACACATTTCGGGTGGTGCGAATTGCCAGCGCTAAACATCCTACAAGCGCCCTTGCTGCTCAATTGTAAGAGACGAGACTGACACAGCAGCTTTTATTACAGCCTTGCTTCCCTTTTTGAAAAAAAAGTCCACCGCTTCTTGTTTATCAAAAAATGTAGCTCTCTGGCTGAGAAAAACTATAACTAACGCAACTAAATATTAGGGTTGATGCATAATTATTGGGATCTTTTCGCGGCTTGTTTTCTTTCGATAAAATTAAATTTTTGAATTCGGGACTTTTGTAGAAATAATCTTCTCGCTTCTCCTAACAGAAACATGTCTAGAAAGTCATCTTCATATACGCCACATTATGCTCTATTACTTCGAGAAATGTTGGAAGGCGGCACACTCATAACGTGATCTCAACGAACTTCTCGGCGATGGAACAGTCAGCCAAAGCCGAATGAAGAGTGGAATTTGCTTCTACGGTCGCCCTATTCACCAACAGAACGCCTATGGATTATTACATTGATCGCCCGTTGAAAAATTGGTTAACGAACAGAACTTTCGACGAAATGGATGGCTTGTCGGCCGACGTGAAGGCGTGATCGTCTCCAAGAATCGAAACTTCATCGCCCCCGCCTAGCAAATGAGAAGCAGCGCTTGTAGGTGGTGGATACGTTCCAGGGCAACAGTTCTTTAGGAAACAGTTCACGATGGAACGGTTTCTGAAATTCACCTCTAGGAAGAACATAAGTGCCGATAGCATGTGGAATGCTGCCGTATCGAGAAATGACCTCGACAGGGCGCTACAAGAGCTCCGAAACAGCCTTAAATGGCGTACACACCCATGAGACCCATGAATGTTTATGTTTATGACAGTCTTGTCAAGATAACACCATTAAAATCGGAGCGTTAGAATGCCGACGAATAGTGTGCCTATGTGGGAGGCACCCAGACGACACGTTACAGACGCGGTCTCGCGCAACCCCCTATCCTCAGAGTCATCGCTAACTGTGTCTTCAAAGGTCCCCATCATTAACTACTTTGATATATGATCACTAAGAAGAATAAATTAAATTTTCGAAGAAAAAGTGCATCATTAGTTGATGATCTTATTCTATATTTACTTAATATTTGCAAAATGGCGACGATTATTTTGCCATAACACAAGTTACAAAACTGACTAAAAGTACATAGTTGTCTCTTACCTCTAAACCAGATAGGTTCGGTTTCTGGAAGCCAAACATCTTGTCCAGGAGAAATCGGAAGTACCTGATTCGCATTTTTGATCCAAACAGAAATTCGATTACATTGGCCTGAACATGTAGATTTATGGATGGTTCATATGGCTTAGGAATAGAAAATACCTATCTTCATGGGTACATACCATTCGTAAATTAAAGGTTAAATTGAACGAGGATATATCAGCACTCAGTAGAACAGACTCTATATCTAACTTGACCAGTTCCCAGCGTCCAAGATGAATTTAGAAGGCGACAACCTCTGTACTTCATAAGATTGGGTTGCAAAACTTTGCTGAAGATGGTTGTGTCTGGTCGAGCGGGTGTGGTGTTGTTCAACATTTGTACGTAAATAGTTGATGTTCAAGAGAGGCCAAACTCAGCAATCCGCACCACCCCTCTCATAATCCACTGCCTTGTTGTTCTGACCCCTCTTGGTCCATTCTAAGGTGGTCGAAAAGCTCCGAGTATGTCAATTCAACGTAAGTATTTGTGCAATTTCGACAGATTTCAGGGCTAATTTTATCTTCTATGATATTCATCGGTAAAAGCGCGTTAGTCTCACAAGGTTGGCGAGTTATGGGCGGAACTTCAGCCTCGGACGGGACTCGAACCAGTACTTGTGCTAGCCTAGCACCGTGCTCTTATCCACCACACTTTAGAGACCCAACTTGCTCTCGCCTTTTTAGTGGTTTACTCATTACCCGCCAACCTTAGGAGACTTTCGGATTGCTTACTGCGGCGAAAAACATCAGTTAACAAAACATCGAATCAGAAGCGCGTCAGTCTCAAACACCAGGGCTTGTTTCTGTTCCTAAATATTTTCCCTGTATTGGTAATAAAGTAGGCAACCTAATTAGAGATAATATCTTCGAATCGAAACGAAATCTGCGGGCTCAGCCTTCACTTCACTCCCTATACCTCTGCTCGTTTTCGGATGATATGACCGAAAAAGATGACTGCATTTCACATCCGCAGACACTCTTAACTCCTCCCCAAAACAAACCTATCTCCAAATGCATGTACGGTAGTAAAACATGTGGTTTACAGGGAACTTATCAATAACTAACCAGTTAGACGGGTGGAGGTGGTATCGAGGCCATCAAATCCCATACGGACGTCCGTTTACGCCTTCCAAGTCTCAAACTCCTACGGGATCGGTTTGTTTGAAACAGACGCGTCTGTGTGGATAATAGACGCCAGCATGATTCACTGTACAAACCACATACTTATTCAATACTCTCTTACATTCCCCGAAGGAAGCAAAATGTGTGGGGCATCTGAACGAGGTCCATTAGGGCTAGAAATCTTCACCCTCCTAAACCTATCACTAAAGCTCTTATCATAGGCTGTAGGGGTTCTAATAGCTGAACACACAGCTGTAGCCGAAAAAATTGAAAAATGAGNTTCTCGACAATCCCATCTTCTTCGAGGTGCAGGAGATCGACAAGTCTCCGAACGAGGCTGGCACCCATAGCGGGTAGATTTTATTTACAATTCAGTTTGTTTTATACATATCTACAAACATCGCTGATGCAAACATTCCGCTAAGTTAAGAATTAAAAGGAAGAACGATACCGGATAGCTCAATAGAAGCCGCATAGCGATGTCCATTTTTGTGAAATGTTGGCGATCAGCAAATTCGGCCGGCAGTGGAATGTGAAGATAAAATAGAGCAAATAAGAAACAAAGCAGTACAGCTACGATAGCCAGCAACAACGGCCACATTGTTGATGAACCTGTACAGTTCAAATCTGTAAAACATGCTGATAATACGAGCGGAACCACCTTCTACATACCATTCAGTAGATAACGCGAACCGCTCATTCTACAATTGAAACTTCATTTCGGCTGGCAGCTGGTCAGCAGGGATAGCACGAGACCGATCCTCCCGATCAGCTAGCTAGGGAAATGAAGTTTCAGCACTTCATAAGCTCATGGAAATATTTTATTGTTCAGTTCGAGGACACCAATTTCATTAAAAGTACTTGTGGTTGTTATACACGTCCACGTCACCAGTCCGCTATTGTTCTCCAACCAACTTTTATGGTTAGGTACAATAGAGGAACGATGTCAAGGATAACAACCACTGTGGGATTCCCTATCCAAATCGTGTTGTGAGCCTAACAATGTGTGATTTCTGAACTCGATAAGAGCTAACAAAGAAGTTCTATTGGTTTCTTCCAAATCACCTTCTTCTCTATATATGAGAATGTGCTCAAATGCACTCTTCACACTCATATGAAACTGACGACTTTCTTCTTAACGAAACTGACGACCAGAACTTCCCTTCCGATCAAGGTTCCTAGGCTAACCACTGTGGAGATGAACGCACATCCCCACCCTCTAGCGATCTTTTATGATAAAGGTGACCGAGTCGGTAAAAAAGCAATTTTCACAGAGCAAAATGAGTGAAAAAGAATTTTTATATACGCAAGAACTACAGGATCTCCTTGTAAAAATTTTAAACTTGCGCCAAAAACGTGAGATCGCAACATGAACGTGAGATTTGCATTTTTCGAAAAGTAAGAAAAGGTGCTAAAAAATTAGAACATGGTCTCAAGTCGAATACTTCCCCAGAAAAGAGAATCTACTCATAGAACGCTCTTTTTTTTCCTCCTCGTTTTGTTGAAATAATGAACGTACAACACCCGCCACTAGAATTCTTGGTTTGCGCTGAGAAAATGGAATTTGCATTTGTTCTTTGCTCTTTGCTAGAATTTAATTTAGAGTAAAGTTTTTTCGGAATGTGATTGCATAACATTTGACTAGGCTGTCCAAGCTCTGCGAGATGGTACGAAAACTATGCGGAAAGATTCAATTCGGATATGCTCGATTTCGAGATTCTCAAGTTTGGAGAGCTATTTCATCTTAGTCTCGAAAATCGGAGAATCGAAGACCTATTCCGAAACTGCGTCAACCACAAAATTGTCCTAAATTGTCAGTCAGAGGTTTTATGAGAAAAGAATGTAAGGCAGAAACTGGAAACAAACAAAGCTTTTGTATAGCGACGGTCCATATATCAATACGTTCGTAGCATTTGATATGCGGATACAAAGTAAGCGTTTGGTTTGATAAGGAAATGGAGTGTAGCTGATTCTCTAAAACAAATCGTGAACTCATAATGGAGCCATGAAACTGTAGAGAACTTGAAAGAAGTGAAAAACTGTAGCCCGGAATAATTCATCCACTCTCCATTCCATCTCCTTCATCCATTCACCTTCTTAGAATGGTACGAAATCATTTTCAACATTGAGGTGCATCTCAAAATAGAGCTTTTCAAGAGTGAACCTTTCACATGATCTCTAGTAGTATCTTGTGAGGCTTGAATAGCTGACATCATTGCCTCTACAACCTAAGGAAAGACTGGTACTCCAGGAAAATCACGAGTTTGCAAAATGAGGGCGAGTTTTCAGACAGCNGGTCCAACATTCGCACTTGTAATTTGGTAAATCTTTTTCTTAGGCAAGATGACTTTGTCAGTGGATATTACCAGAAAAGCCTATTATACCCATCGAAAAAGAATAAAAACTCGTTTTTCTGGACACGTTACTTTTGGCAAATTCAGCATTCCATTTTACCTTGGACAAAACTTCACAAAGAAGTACGAAATGCCCAACAGCAGCCGCAAAAAAATCAACACAAACAAATTCGCGATCGATTATGAGATGCAGCAGTCGGCAGAGAGATAAGCTAGCAAGAGAGGCATAGCGAAAACGAATTGTAGGAATGGCACGTCAATAAACACGACAAAAATGACTACTCAAAGACGCAGTTTACGATAATTTTGAGATTCTCATCTTCATTTTTGAACTGTGTTGAAAAGTAACTGTGTTGGTGAAAAATAGTGCATCAAAGGCGAAGAAAATGAGAAATTTAGCGGGTTCGCGGAAAGTGAGGTCTTATAAAAGTAGTAAAAGTAAAGAGGTTGTATGAGATCGCCATAACGGGAATGGCATTTGATAGGCATTTTGACGTGATTTCAGTTGTTGCAATTGTTGAAATAGCTGACTTTATTAGGCCAAAAATGTCCAAAACTATCTTCGAGCGGGTCACGGCTCCTCGTAAACCTCCCACATAGGTGTTCTCGATAGGCCTACGGACTACTCAAACTCGTTCCTTTCAATTGTGGCAACCGCGCCTATTTTCTGCCCTCGTCTGTCGCACTCCCTTGTAATCAACCTTAGCTGCTGAACTTGTCTTCAATGGGACCTCTAAAAAGCCGTAAGAAGTCGTCTACCTTTGGGTGGGGCATAGTTCCGATACATCTTCAGGCCATTGTAACGCCTTATCGAAGCTGTTCACCGGTCAGAGCGCTACATTTGGTATTCAAGGACGTCACAGATTTACCCTAGAAGGATATATCGAGAATCATGTTCGTCGTAAACTGTAGCTTTAACGGCGGTATAAAAACCAGAGAACGTGACAAATTTTTTCTCAATTTTTGTATCTATTGCTGTATTGTAAGCATACACCAAACCGTAAAACTTTTGACTGCTCACCACATAGCGCTTCAGATTTTGCGATCAGCATTGGGCATACGAAAATCACTTTTGAGTGGATTGTTCAGCTTTACGGAGGCATTAATCGTATTACTTGCACCCTACGAAGCCGGTATTCAGGAGTGATAAACCGGAAAAACAGGGCCCCAAAAAATTCTACAATTCAACAGGAAATAAGGGAGTAGTCATTAAAAGAGAACTCATCTCACGCAATATAACGTCGTATCATAAAAACTAAGAGAACAAACTCGTCAATCATACACAGTGATAAAGTGATAACAAAGGATATGGGCTAAGCCTGAACAAGGGCTTGATCTATGGATACCCTGTAGCAATCAACTCCCATTCAGAATCGCAGAAGCGCTTTCAAATGCGTAGGGCCTATGAAATGAATCGCTGTGGCTAGCTGATGCATAAGTCAATACTTTCATCCCCCAGACCAGTTTGGTACCGATTAGCTGACCCCGTGCAGGTGGAATGCTTTGATGGGTATCGAACCGGACCTGATCCATTGACCATGCGCGTGCGATAGTAGGTCACATACCACTGTGCCACTTCAGGTCGACAACGATAATACTTTCTATCGAACGGCGGAAGACAAGCTGTACATTGAAATAAATGAGAACTACAACTCAAATACGTGGAAC